ATATATATATATATATATATATCAGTGGTAGTCAACCTTTTTCCACTTACCGCCCACTAATGCATCTTTCTTGATGGAAAAATTTCCTTACCGCCCACCAGTTTTCGCGCAAGCGCGGAATATTTTTTAGAAAGGAGGGTGTTTTAAAAAATACATAAATGAACGTACATTTATCTTTTTATTTCTACTTTATGCATGTTTATAATGTTTTTAACTTTATAAAGTTTAATGAGGAAGCAATAAAGTAAATTGAACTTACCTTTACTAGAGGTTGATGCTGCGAGACTAAATATTTGATATCTGGTTCGATTTTCATAAGGAACAAACGAAGGTCTCCTCTTTCAGTGATAATCGGAAGACTTCTTTGTTTGCTCATAAAATGATTTCTCATCTGTGCGTCAGCTCCCCTCCTCTCCCTCCTCAATTCCCCTTCCCACCTTTTTCCCCTTTTTTCTATTTTTTAACCTTCCTTATAGCAATGGCCAATAGGAAGGCTGAGCTAGGTAGCCCACTTACTATTATTAGTCAACAACAATTCTCTCCTTTTCCTTTTCTTTCCTTCTCCTTTTTTACAAGTACTCTACTCCTTCTTTCCTCTATACTAGAAGTACTCTACTCCTTCTTTCCCCTATACTAGAAGTACTCTACTCCTTCTTTCCCCTATACTAGAAGTACTCTACTCCTTCTTTCTCCTATTCTACAAGTACTCTGCACCTTCTTTCTTCTATTCTACAAGTACTCTGCACCTTCTTTCTTCTATTCTACAAGTACTCTGCTCACAGACAAACACATACACACACACACACACACACTCACATAGAAACACATACACACAAATATACACATACTCACACATGCACTTACAGACACTCACACATACACAGACAGACCCACAGACACACATACACTTACAGACACAGACACATACACTTACAGACACAGACACATATACTTACAGACACACACACACACATACACTTACAGACACACACACATACACTTACAGACACACACACATACATACACTTAGAGACAAACACATATACACACAAATTATTAATATTAAATATCCACCCAGCCTCCCTACCTGGAGAGCTGGTGTGGATCTGTCCCTGGGGTCCAGTGGGGCTTCACTTAGGCGGGCGGCTAATCAGACGCAGCGAGGGAGCTCTAACCTCTCTGCTCTGCTCCCTCGCGGACTGTCTACGGATGCCGGGAGCCGGAATATGACATCATATTCCGGCTCCCGCGGCATCAGCAAACATCGCGCGAGGGAGCAGAGCAGAGAGGTTAGAGCTCCCTCGCCGCGACTGATTAGAACGCTGCCATGCCGGGGGGTCCAGAAGGTGGCCTGGCAGGAGGGAGCGCTTCCTCCTGCCGGTCACTGAAGACTTGCGCATGCAGAGCCGCTCGCGCCCGCCCAAAAGGAGAAATCCTCTTAAAAAGAGGATTTAGCCTCAGAAATCCCTACCGCCCACCTGGAATCCTAAAACGCCCACTAGTGGGCGGTAGGGACCAGGTTGACGACCCATGATATATATATATAGTGTATGCCTGTAGTTGTGGGAGGTATTTAAGGCCTATACAAACCCAGCAAACCCCAGGCTTACCTGTCTTCGTCAATTCCGGAAATTCCGCCTTCATTTCCGCTCCACGCAGACCTCTGACGTCATTTTCCCGCGACGCTCGGAAAGAACGCTCAGGAACTCACACGCCAAGCTCGGTGAGTAATCACACGAACGGGGTCCATTCGGCAGTTTCCTACGCAAAACTGTAAGTCCATTCACCCTTTCACTTTCGAATACAATTCATTCACGCAACTTTCATTCGCATGAAAATTCGACAGGGGGGTTTGCCTGATCGGTCTTTTACTATCAGCTTTCTTAATTTGCCAATCCGATTGTATGCAGAAAATGTGAAATATTTTCAGACTAGCCTCTTTTTAGTAGACTACGGAGAGTTATTAAACCTCTCCCTATTTAAAGAATTAGGAGTCACGGTAGCACCAAATAAGACAGAGGGTCCCAGTACAGAAATAACTTTCCTAGGCATCACACTAAATTCTGTAACTATGCAAGCTAGCCTCCCTCAAATCAAAGTAGACAGGATTCTAACTCACATTCACAGCTGCACCAATCACGAGTCATGCACCAGGTAAGAGTTACAGTCGCTTTTGGGTTCTCTTAACTTCGCCATGAGAATTATCCCTCAAGGCAGATCTTTCATCTCTAGGCTACTTTCTCTTCTACACGGCCTCCCTGACGACGACACTAAGATAAATCTAGACGGTCCTGCAAGGGCCGACCTAAAAATGTGGGATCTATTTTTAACCTCATGGAATGGTAGGTCATTGTTCATTCCCCCCATATCCGATGAATCCCCGGTTATCTGGAAAGACGCAGCAGCTACCGTCGGGTACGCTGCAATATTTGGGGACGAATGGGTATATGACAGTTGGCCACCCGAAACAGTTACACTAGAGAAATTTGACAAAACCTCTGCATTTTTCGAGATCTTCCCAATAGTGGCAGCAGCTCTCATTTGGGGAAGTAATTGGAGGGGGAAAGCAGTTAAGTGTTACTCTGACAATTTAGCAGCATGTAACATAATTAACAAAGGCCGCTCTCAGTCCCTGCCAATCATGAATCTTGTAAGGAAACTTACATGGGTAGCAGCAAATTTGCAGTTTTATATTCATTGTATCCATGTTCCTGGTGTCTTCAATAACGCAGCTGACGCTTTGTCTCGTTTTAATTTACAGGAATTTTTCAAACTGCACCCTACAGCGAACAAGCAACCCATAACTCCTCTGCAATTCAAAGACCTAATCATGCACCAAACCAGTTACTAGCACACAGTAGACTTCTTGCACAGGCAGGTTTATCTGTAAACACTAAAAAAGCGTACGATAGGGCTTTTGACATGTTCAAAAAGTTTGTGCGTGACTTTAACATAATAAACCATTTTTCTGTAGAAACTATGGTTGCAATTTCAACTTTTTGCCACCTCTCATTAAAACTAGCCTACAATACCATCAAACTTTACTTGACGGGGATACAACATTTCATGCTAATCCTTTACCCGAACAAGTCTCCTTTCTTGTCCACATACCCAATAAAAAATATACTAAAAGGTATCCAGAGGCAAAAAACCCATAAATCCCTCAAAAGACTCCCCATAGACAGTAATATCTTTAAAGAAATCTCCAAGCTATTAGATAAAAATCCTTTTGAAAATAGCACTAACCGAGTAATTAAGGCAGTAGCTTATCTAGCCTTTTTCGGATTCCTAAGACCTAAAGAATTTTCAGTAGAGAAAATATTTGACACTGAAATTTGTCTTAAACAAAAGAACTTAACCAAAGTAAATGATCATTTTGTTCTATCAATTCCCCGCACAAAAACAAAACAAACAGGCCCCCCAGTGGAGATTAAGTACTTTCCTACCGGTTCCAAATGGTGCCCAGTTCAAGTGCTGGATAATTTGATAATAAAACAGCAAATTAAAAATCCAGATTTGCCTCTGTTGTCCCTACAAGGTAAGCCACTTATTACTAAACAGTTCATGCTATATATCCGTGCTTTGCTTCTTAGACTCGGCCTCAATCCAAATTCCTTCTCGGGACACTCATTCCGTATTGGAGCGGCCACGGCAGCCTCAAGTAGTCAACACATATCATAAAGAAAATGGGCCGATGGAAATCCTCAGCGTACAACAAGTACATCCCAAACCCAGAGAAAGAAATCAGACTCGCTTTCTATAATATGTCTAAATAATGTTGTTGTAATAAATAAACATGTTTACATACTTCTTGGCCCTCTTTTTATAGGCCTAACCTCTCGTCGGTTTTGGCACACCTCATCCGACACTTACACTCTCTTTAAATGTACGCCCCATTCCATAATCCCGTACACAAATAGAAGGCCTGTAGTTGTGGGAGGGATTTAAGGCCTATATAAACCCAGCAAACCCCAGGCCTACCTGTCTTCGGCGATTCCGGAAATTCCCCTCCCACCACACCCTCTTTTCATATCAATATTTCCGGGTGGGCCCTCTTTTTACAGGCCTAACCTCTCGTCGGTTTCGGCACACCTCAACCGACTCTTATTTATCAAAATTACACTCTCTTTAAATGTTCGCCCTGTAACGGCACCCTCAGCATAAAAGGGTTAAACCACCATTTAGTAGATCTTCCCTTCCAGGGATGCAGGCACAGCTACTGCAGAACACCAATCCGCCGAACAGGAAAAGATATGAGTGCTCTAAACAGCCGAATAGGAAAAACCATACGAATAGGTTTACACTCCTAGCAGTCAAACTGGAACAGCATACAATAAATCCCCCCAAGAACGAGGCAAAACTCTGTGTTGAGGGTCAAGCAGTGAACAGACAGAGTTGTGGGTTTATTGTGCTTATGTACACATTCTTACACATTAGTACCACCCACAGGGTTTTGGAACACAACCAATAAACACATACAATACACTCAGACACTCCCACACAAATTCCTCCCCTCTGCATGTGATTCAATTACCTTACACAATGGGTAATGTAATTTAGCACAAGCAGAGAAATACAATTTTTCCACATTATTCATAACTTGAAAAGTATGCATCACATTCACAGCTTACATTTTCAGAATCAGCATACTCCAAATACAAACATACATCAAAATCATACAAATTGGTCCAGTGGTTCAAAAGATAGATCGTAGTCCTTTGTGACCACAGGAGGCATGGCTTTTCTGCCCAAAACCAGTTCCACAGAGTCTTCTATCCAGGAGATAATTGTGAAGTAATCCAATTATCTCCAAAGACAGAGGCAAAACTCCATTGAACACATGACAGCAAAAAGACCGTAAAATACAATAAAATACACAAGGTTACATTTATGACATAAAATACAGACATGCAACATATGCCCAGATAGCTTAGGTCTAAGCGCACATTATTACTGAATGGCGCTCAGAGCACACACATACAGTTCAATTACCATGGAGCCAAAGTCTTTCCCATAGTCTTTCATTATACGAATGGGCTCCATGGCATAGCTATCTGCGGTATCACTGCTCAAACAGGGCAAGCACCAAATGACCCGGCTTTCTTGTCTTTGCAGGGGAAAATCAAGCCTTTTAACATGGGGCCATAATCCAAAGGCAACAGGCGAGCAACCAGGCTTCTCCAATGCAATGTGGCGAGATTGCTCTCGTCACACGCCCCATTCCATAATCCCATACACAAATATATATATATATATATATATACATACACACACAAACAATGAAGATGAGAGCACTCAATGGATTTCTAACGAAAATAAGTGTATTCAATGTTGCCAATTAGGATTAACGTTTCGACCTGACAGTCTTTATCAAGATGGCAATACAGTGCTTAACATATGTTGATTTAGTATCTATAAAATAAGAATAAGTGACCATGTGTGGGTGAACTGAGTGAACATGCGGAGTACCGTGAAACCCGGAAGTGTACCGTGCCTGATAGCGTGATGACGTGTAATGCGTTCCGTTGTCATGGTAATGTCAAAAGTTGACAGTAGCCTGTGACGTGCATGTAAGGGACTCGAGGTGAGAGGCAAAAACTGGAGCCTTTGTCAAAAAGGGATGCTTCCGTTGTCCAGACCGTGTTATCTGCAGTCATATGTCACAGGTCCCACCTTTGCACATCCCCATTCAGGTAAATGATTCCATATCAGACATTACATTTCATGTCTCACAGACCATGTCATATATTTAATATCATGACCCTGCGGTCTATATTACGTAGGCAAAACCGATCTCACCCTGAGAGACAGAATTTGTGGCCATAGATCGGGGATTATGATGGCTTACAGAGATGGTAAAACAGAGAAACCGAGCACTTCTTAAAGGAACGTTATCAATTACCCACCATGAAATTCACAGCCATAGACCACATTCTTCCCTTATCCAAAGGAGGCAACAGATCAAGACTTCTTCTATAGAGAGAGACTTTCTGGATCAGAACTCTGGACACAGTTCATCCTAGGGAACTTAATGAATATATCTTTTTAATTTTTCTTATTTATTTTTATAGTAGTCCATCTCTATTATTTGGCATTTAGTCTTTATGACACCCCATAAAGTCTGCTAATTCATTGTTTATTACTTAACTTATTTTATTTAGTTAGAATCTATGACATTATCATATAACATGTACAGCAACATTACCCTTGCTTACATAATTTAGCCCAAACTTAGTTACATAGTTGCATAGCTGAAAAGAGACTTGCATCTATCAAGTTCAGCCTTCCTCACATTTGTTTTTTGCTGTGGATCAAAAAGAAGGCAATAAAAACCAAAAAACAGTTTGAAGCACTTTTGCAACAAACTAGGAAAATAATTCCTTCTTGACCCCAGAATGGCAGTCAGATTAATCCTTGGATCAAGAAGCTATTACCGTACATTGAAAATTATATCCTGAATATTCTGTTTTTGCAAGTATGCATCTAGTTGCTGTTTGAACATCTGTATGGACTCTGATAAAACCACTTCTCCATATCATTATTGTTCTTACAGTAAAAAAACTTTTATTTGTGTTAGACGAAATCTTCTTTCTTCCAGTCTAAACCATGACCTCGTGTCCTATGTAAAGTCCGGTTTGTGAATAGATTTCCACATAATGGTTTGTATTGGCCCTGGATATATTTGTATAATGTTATCATATCCCCTCTCTTCTAAACTAAACTATAGAGCTTTAAATTTGTTAACCTTTCTTCATAGCTGATATTTTCCAGTCCTTTTATTTATTTTGTAGCCCACCTCTGCACTTTTTCTAGTGCCATAACATCCTTCTTTAGAACAGGTGCCCTTAATTGCACAGAATATTCAATATGTGGTCTTACCAGTGATTAAAATCAATATTCTTTATTAAGTTACAATTATTTCCTTCTAGCAAATTATATATATATATATATATATATATATATATATATGTAAAAAAGCAATAAGTCTGGCACTATGCCTATAAAGTAATGAGAAAAAACAAAAACAAAAAAAACTTGGAGATATAAATATTGTAGTAACTTTGTAGTAAGTAGTAACTTTTCAAATCCCATTAAACTATATATTCATGATCATCTAAATATGTTTATTATATTTGTTTTTCATATAGGTTACTACTTAATGTTATATAGATACCATAGATAGTAATTTCTTGCAGTTACAACTTCTCTCTGCTTATCAGCATTTTTTCAAATGTTTATTCTGTTTGTATAGTGTTTATGATATATCTATTGCAGCTAAAAGAATAGTGTTTATATAAAATTGCATATATGACACTCTTGAAGAAAGTCAGATCTCAAACACTGAATATGAGATGTCCAGGAAAAGTGCTACACATACTGGGAATCGGGGTACACTAACTAAATGGTAAAAAATAAATGGTTAAAAAATAAAGTTAAAAAATATATATAACCAATGCAGGTAGAAAAATAGGGAGAGTAAAAATAACAGTTATTGGAATATCACATCCAGATATAGCTCAAAGTCATGGAGTTCAAATATATAGAAATATCATAAAGTTAATTCCAATAGTGAAAGCCGTTTTGAAGATGTCTCTATGAAACTATGCATCAGCTATCTGGATAGGCAACTGTGTTATAGAGTAACAAGAGTTGCAAATTATCCAAAGCTGTTATAGGATATTCTGTAATACAGAATGTAAGATGGATATCAGGTAGTCTGGAATTATGGCATCAATTGCCGCAGTTAAAGTACAATGGAAGGTGGTGTCTAATCACTTTTTAGATCAAAGTGATAGATCTAAAGTGTTCGGATCTTCACTGTGCTCTGAAAGATAAATTAACAAGCCATAGTGCTCTCTGTAAAAACATACTTTTTTATTCTTAAAGATTAAAAACACTCACATAAATCCAAAAGAATATGGGGACATTGGTCTTGGCCATGGTGGAGAGTTTGGAATCTGATTGATTGATTGATTGATTGATTGATTCTGTGGACAGGTGTCTTTTATACAGGTAATGAGCTGAGATTAGGAGCACTTTGATAGGGGATCGAATACATATTTCACTCATTGACATAAATTTATAACTTTTTTGACACATGTTTTTCTGGATTTTTTTGTTTTTTGTTATAAATACACGTACCATTAAAATTATAGACTGATCATTTCTTTGTCAGTGGGAAAACATTCAAAATCAGCAGGGGATCAAATACTTTTCCTCCTCACTGTATTATTAAAGGGACACTTTAGTCACCAGAACAACTACAGCTTATTGTATTTGTTCTGGTGAGTAGAATCATTACCATCAGGCTTTTTGCTGTACACACTGTCTTTTCAGAGAAAATGCAGTGTTTACATTACAGCCTAGTGATAACTTCACTGGCCACTCCTCAGATGGCTGTTAGAGATCCTTCCTGGGTCATGGCTGCCTAAAATGCATCCAAACATTAAGTATCTCCTCCCTCTGCATGCAGACACTGAACTTTCCTCATGGAAAATCATTGATTCAATTCATCTCTATGAGGAGATGCTGACTGGCCATGGCTCTGCCCCTGATCTGCCTCCTTGTCAGTCTCAGCCAATCCTATGGGGAAGCATTGTGATTGGATCAGGCCACCACTTATAATGATGTCAGAAGTCAGAGGAAGTTCACAGGCAGAGGTAGCAGCTTTAGACTTGAATACAAGTAAGGTTTTACTATCTTTAGGGATGCAAAGGGTACCAAGGGGGCTAGATAGCGGTTTTAACACTATAGATTCAGGAATACATGTTTGTGTTCCTGACCCTATAGTGCTCCTTTAAATTGTAAAAAGCAAGTTCAACAATCAACAAATGGTTAAAACAGTGAACAACAAACTGTAAAGACAGAGATAAACAAAGTGAAAAATAAGACAGAAATAAAACTAAAAAATACTTAAATGTATATACACTAGCTGATTTTTGCAGGCCATATAAAATACATAAAACCATGGCATATAGTACATAAGGGCAAAAGCATACACTGAAAGTGCAAAATGTACTTAGGAATGAATTCTGAAGAATATCGCAATACAGCAGACACTGTACTTGGTGTCTGGATTTAAGACCACTTAACTTACCTCATTGGTTTAGAAGCTTCACTGCCAACTTTGACCTTTTGTTTGTGTTTCTACTTTTGTACCTCCATAATAAATCACGTACTCCATTTTAGTCTTTGCAGTTACAGGTGTTATTGATCGATTTGGAAGCATGTGCTTTTTTTTCTGCATCTATATCACAGTAAGTTATACCTGTTTAGCGAAAATGGCATGGTTTATAGAGCATATGGGACAGTTGTTCACTTTAAAACTTGTTAAATGCACATCTTTATAAAAATATTTTTATTTAGCAAATATATTGTATTGTGTGTAAACACTTGGATAGCAGTAAGATACAATGAACCTTCAATGAAAAGACATTTTTTTATCTACTCATTATCCTGTGTTGAAAACAAAGATAATCATTGCTAACAAGCAGAAGAAAAACACATATTTGCACACCAAAAAGAAATCAATTGGCACAACAGAAATGCTGGATAACCTGTAGACACAAGGGTCACATAAGTTAAAAGCTTTATTGTGTTTTCTTGACACGTTTAAGTAAGACTCTCTGATCTGTTGCAGTTATTTTAGACCTTACATGTAGAGATGTAAACAAATTCTAGCTATGGCTCACAAATGTCTATTATCAAAACAGTCAGACTTTCTGTATGTCTATTTATACCTAAAAGCAGTGATTATCAATGTCAAGTGACCAGTGTGGGTGATTTTAAGGAGATAGAACCCCACAAGTATACATTTCAATATCTTTCTCTCATATTAACTGCTCATCACATATTTGGTATTGTTACATTAGAATGATAATTTGCATGGAATTGCTGTGTAAAGACTGAAAGTAAATACACCAACCTGGAATGGTACGTTTATATCCTGACCCAGGTATTTAAAATGTGTGACGTGCTATGCATGTCAATTGTTATAGAGGCACAATTTTCAAACTTCAAGCTTTAATAAATTAGTTGAAAAGCTAATTTCTGCTATATTTTCAATTATGTCACTGAAATTCACTATTAAATGAATTTGACCATTAAATAATATTAAAAGTATGATTTAATACTACATACTTAATATGAAATTACCAAATTATCATCTGAGCCCTATTAAAGGGACACCCTACTACCCAAATACAA